AACACCCAGTGCTTATCACCACACATGCCCTCCTTAATGCCCATCACCCAGTTACCCCATTCCCCCCACTCACCTCCCTTCTGTAATCCTCAGTTTGTTTCCTGGAGTCCAGAGTCTCTCATGGTTTGTCTCCCTCTCAGATTTTTCACCTTTCTTCCAGCAATTTCTTATTTGTTCCCTGGCATCAAGTTAGTTAGGGATGTTTGAAATCTCTCTCTACATTCTTGTTGAGATTCAGTCAAATCAGTTTTTGTCAGGAAGAAACTGAGGCCTAGGTTGGACAAATGACTTGCTTAAGGTCTCAAACCTGCTAAATGCCAGGATTTTGTATCTGCTTTTTATGCGTGTATGTATTTATATGTGTTTATTTATATGTATGTATTTACTCGATCTTACTGAGGTAATTTTAAAAGTTTGATAGGGGCACCTGGGTGGCTCAGTCAGTTGAGTGTCTGACTCCTGGTTTTGGCTCAGGTCATGATTTCATGGGTCATGAGATTAAGCCCTGCATCTGGCTCTGCACTTGGTGGGGAGCCTACTTGAAGATTCTCTCGCTCTGCCCCTCTCTCCACCCAAGCATTCTTTCTCTTTCTCTTTAAAATAAATAAATCTTTAAAAAAAGTTGGATAAACCTTCTATACTTTCCTGTGTTAGTATTTTTGTCTTATAATAAGTCAGGGATATATTTCCAGGTCATTAAAAATGGTTGAATTTATTTTTCCCATTTTAAAATTAAGATATAATTGACATACCGTAAAATGTACCCATTTAAAGTATATAATTCAGTGGTCTTTAGTATATTCACAAGATTGTGCAACTATCACCTTATCTAATTCTAGAACATTTTCATCACCTCAAAAGGAAACTCTGTACCCATTGGCAGTCATTTCTTATTTGTTTCCCCCTTAGTCCTGATAGCTACTAATCTTTTTGTCTCTATAAATTGTGCATTCTAGACATTTCTTTCACTTAGCATAATGTTTTCAAGGTTCATCTGGTAGTGTCAGTACTTTTTTTATGGCCAAATATTTCATTGTATGAATATACCATATATGTTTATCCATTCATCAATTGATAGACATGAGGCTATTCTGCATAATGCTGCTATGAATGTTTATGTACAAGTTTCATGTAGACTTTTGTTTTTTCTCTTGGGTGGAATTTCTGGGTTATATGGTAATTTTATGTTCAGCTTTTTGAGGAATTCCCAAACTGTGTTCCATATCAGCTGCACCATTTTACATTCCCACCAACAATGCATGAAGTTTCCAATTTGTCCATATCCCTGACAACATTTGTTAGTCTTTTCATTTATAGCCATCTTAGTGTATATAAAGTGATATCTCATTATAGTTTTGATTTACAATTCCCTGATGACTATTGATATCAAACATCTTTTCATGTGCTTATTGGCCATTTATATATTTTCTTTGGAGAAATGTCTATTCAAAACCTCTTGATTTTTTTTTTTTAAACTGAGTTGTCTTATTATGGAGTTGTAATCATTCTTATATTTTCTGGATACCAATCCCTGATCAGATATATAATTTGCAAATATTTTCTTCCATTCTAGGGGTTATATTTTTACATTCATCTTTTAGTATATGTGCTGTCAAAGTGAGCACGTAGTTTTACATTCTTGATAGTGTCCTTGAAGCACAAAAGTATTGAAATTTTGACGAAGTCTAATTTATCGTGTGTACATGTGTGCGTGTGGTGTCATATCTAAGATATTGCCTAATCCAAGGTCATGAAATTTTACCCCTATGTTATCTTCTAAATATTTTGCAGCTTTAGCTCTTACACTTAGGTCTTTTTTCCATTTTGAGTTTATTTTTGTATATGGGGTGAAGTAGGGGTCCAAGTTTATTCTTTTGCATGTGTATTTCCAGTTATCCCAGCACCATTGGTGAAAAAGCTGTCCTTTTCCCATTGAGTGATCTCGGCACTCTTATTGAATATCAACTGACCATAGTTATATGGGTTTGTTTTTGGACTCTCAGTGCTATTTAATTTATCTATATATAAATCTTTATGCCAGTACGAGGCTATTTTAATAATTGTAGGTTTGTAATAAGTTCTGAAGTTAGGAAGTGTGAGACCTCCAACTCTGTTGTTGTTTTTCAAAATTGTTTTGGCTAACTTGAGTCCCTGAACTTCTGTATGGATTTTTACATATTATCAATTTTTTATTAAAAAAAAAAAAGAGGCAGAATACTCATGAAAGAAATTGAGGAAGACACAAAGAAATGGAAAAATGTTCCATGTTCATGGACTGGAAGAACAAATATTGTGAAAATGTCAATGCTACCTAGAGCAATCTACACATTTAATGCAATCCCTATCAAAATACCATCAACTTTTCTCACAGAACTGGAACAAATAATCCTAAAATTTGTATGGAACCAGAAAAGATCCCGAATAGGCAGGGGAATGTTGAAAAAGAAAACCAAAGCTGGTGGCATCACAATTCCGGACTTCAAGCTCTATTCCAAAGCTGTCATCATCAAGACAGTATGGTACTGGCACAAACACAGACACATAGATCAATGGAACAGAATAGAGAGCCCAGA